CTGCCCCTCGTCAATGTGCGTTTTCTGCATTGCATAGCTGCAAAAAACGCATAAAAATGAATAAAATCGGTGTTTTCTTTTTCGGCGAAGTCGCATGAAGAATGCTGTGTTAAGCATTTTCATTTGGGTTTTGCTTTTTTTTACGAAAATCTCTGTTTTCAGGATCAGTTCCGAGTGGTAGCATCGTCATCCGGTGCAGTACAAGTTACTGCTTTGGCTAGATTCCTAACTGCATGGATTAGCCTAAAGAATGGCCGGTCGTTTCATTGCCCTTCGTCGTTATTTCAGTGTTTAATAGACTCTATAAAGTCTATGAAAGGAAATATTGTCGCGGAAGTGCTCGAATTACTCGGCTTGGCAATCATAAAGTTCGTTTAGCTCTATGAATATTACAAATACACATTTTCTTGGATTATTCTTCAAGAAATACAAATTAGAGAAAACTCTAGTTTTTCCTTACATTTTTTACAAATATATTTAGGAAATTCCCATCCTCTAGTCTTTCCGCTCGAGAAGGGAAGGGAGTAGAAACGAGAGAGAGGAGAGCAGTGGAGAAAGTGAGTGTTGATGGGTTTATATATCTGGTTAAATATGTGTGTTCGGCTAATTTGGCTGTTGAGTCGTGCTAGATTTTGGGTTATAACAGGGTCTGTCTGTATAGCCGCCGGGTGGTTCGTTTTACAACATATGTCTGTTTGGATTGCCAAACCCGAAAATGCATATTTGTATTTCTGCCCCTGCCGATACTTCGCCATTGCTTTCCCTGATCGATAGCGTACGTTCTCTGAGCGTAAGCATTCATCACCACTTTTTTCGTGAAGGGTTTTTTTGCAATATTTCCCCCGTGCATGCCCACTTTTCTTGCCTTTGCTATTTCAGCCGAGCATACATTGCCCTATTAAATTGCTTGTGTTAACTGCGTTGTAGTGGAGCAGTATTCCTGGCAAATCTGTATGCAATAATTGATAATCTTTTAGATTCCACGGTGAAACTGATTCGCAAACGCTTATCATATCATCGGTACGTGCACTTGTGGACTGTGCTCAAAGGTTCGTGTAAAATCCTTGTGGTGTACAAAAATTCTTACTCCATTTATCTTCAGCATCTCAAAAAATCGCAATTTATCGGCTTCGCATTAATCTCTGATTCTGATTTTTAAACCTATCAATCATTTTTTTTTTTTTTTTGAGGAGATGGAGAGTTGTAGCTTTATGTTTTAATTAGGCAATTTCCGATCCTGGTTGTCTTATATGTCGGGCACTTTGTTTCACTGGTTTTTTGGATCCTTGTTGCTGATTTCAGTAGTCGATCTT